AATTACTTTGTTAGTTTTGGCATCCTATGTATTTTTAAATATAGATTTTCCTTTTACAGAATAAGTATTTTTGGTTTAAGAGCTTTTTGAAACAAACACACGTTTCCCTGTTCTCCTATCCTAGGCTCGGCAGCTGGTCAGCACAAGGCTGGAGATCAGAACTGGCTCTGGGGTCCTTCAGACTCCAGTTGGAGGAGGCCTTGGTGAACTGGTTTGAAACGTGCTGACTAAGAATATGACTAGGGACAGTATTTCTGTTAAATGTCAGTTCCAGCTGTCACTGGGGAATTCACAGTTTTGAGCAGACCACAGCAGGTAAGACACCATAGATAAGAGGTACAAGAGCAGAATGAAAAGCTCCCATGTTTTCTTTTCTCCCCATGTCAGAGCTTTGTCTTTGCAATGCTGCCCTTTAAAGACTGAGTGCCTATCCAGGGGCTGAATCTAATATATAATGTTGATTTAGGCCACAGCTATTAGATTGTCTATCCATCCATCTGGTACAAAGCAATAAATGCAAAATCTGAATGTGCTCCTATCATGGTGTGATAGCCTGGCTGGCCTTGACAGTGGATTCCAAGAATCTCAAGTCTGTCTGCACTGGCCTGTCAGCAAAGAATCCCTGCTTAGAATCATAGAATCACTTAGGTTGGAAAAGACCTTCAAGATCACTGAGTCCAGCCATTAACCCTACTCTGCCAAGGCCAGCACTAAGCCATATTCCCAAGCACCACATCTAGATGACTTTTAAGCATATCCAAGGATTGTGACTCAACCACCTCCCTGGGCAGCATGTTCAAATGCTCGATATACCTAGAAAAAGCTCTTGGGGTTTTTAAAGTTTTGGCTCTTGCTTATTATAAGCCAAGAGCCATTTATTAAACAGGGCCTGTGTTAGTGCTTGAGTGGCCCTATGGAACATTAGTATCAATGACCAGGTTTTCCAAGGGCAGTGATCCTGACATACTCCCTGCATGCCTCTCCCAGCAAGGCATACCCTGAGGAACAGGCATGCTTGGGGCTGTGCTCATGCCAGTTAAAAACCTCATGCCTGCAGGACTAATCCTGCATCCTTGCTGCATTGTGTGGCTCTTGTTGCTCAGGTGGCATCCTTCTGTCTGGGCTGCAAACACCCAGATCAAGGCTCCTTTAGTCTTCAAGGGTCCCTGCAGTTTCAAACACAGTTAAGGGTCCTTGTGCCTGTGTCCTCATTGGATTTCAGTTTAATTCTTTATGTCCCCTCTCAGGCTCCTTGCCAGGACTCAGAACTTTACTAGTCTCCAGCTTCCCAGCCTGTAGTGTCCCATGGGATGGGAGATTGTGTGGAGGAAGGGCACTTCCTTTGGGTGAATGGGGGGATCCAAGATCAGAAGGAGGGAGCCTGTGAAATTCAGAAGGTAGGAGCAAGGGATGAAGTTCAGAGGAGATGCATCAGCTGGGGGAAGAAAGGGTTTTCTTTGGGCTGGGCAACTACATCTTCAGAGAGCTGAATACCCACTGGAACCCTGCAGAGATGGTTAGCAGTGGATTCTCAATGTCACTCCAGAAGTCTTAAAAAAACCCTTTCACGGCCCTGTTACTGCACGATCGAACAATCAGATGTCCAGGGGACATGCTTTGCTACCCTTTTCCTGCTCAGTTGGCCTTGTATTGTTGAGGATGATGGGGGTTTCAGTTAGCCAGTCAATCAATCATTTCCTGAGGTTTATTATTTATCATAAAATCATAGAATCATTAAGGTTGGAAGAGACCTTAAGGATCATCAAGTTCCAACCTCCCTGCCATGAGCAGGGAACCCTACCACTAGACCAGGTTGCCTAAAACCTCGTGCAACCTGGCCTTAAAAACCTCCAGTGATGGGGCATCAGCAACCTCCCTGGGCAACCCATTCCAGCTCCTCCCCACCCTTACAGTGAAGAATTTCTTCCTGATGTCTAAATCTCCCCCCTCTCAGTTTAAAACCGTTACCCCTTGTCCTATCACTATCTCCTCTGATGAAAAGCCCCTCCCCAGCTTTCCTGTAGCCCCTCCAGGTACTGGAAGGTGCTATAAGGTCTCCTTGGAGCCTTCTCTTCTCCAGGCTGAGCAGCTCCAACTCTCTCAGCCTGTCTTCACAGCAGAGGTGCTCCAGGCCTTTAATCATCTTGGTGGCCCTTCTCTGGAGCCTCTCCAACAGCTCCATGTCTTTCCTGTGCTGAGGGCACCAGAGCTGTACACAGGACTCCATGTGGGGTCTCACCAGAGCGGAGTAGAGGGGCAGAATCACCTCCCTGGCCCTGCTGGCCACACTTCTTTTGATGCAGCCCAGGATGCAGTTGGCTCTCTGGGCTGCGAGCACACACTGGTGGCCCTGGCTGAGCCCTCCCCACATCCCTGTCATTCCAGGCAATGGAAACTTTTGTGATGTCTGAGCAGCAGAGGCTGGCAGGCAGTCTGATCAATGTTAATGGCTCATTCTCAGCCATGTGAGAAGAGAAACATCAACAAAGAGAGATGGTTAGAACTTTATTAGGAGAAACCTAGACATGATTGACTGAAATCTCATGTTAAGGAGAGCACACAAGTCTTTTCAGGATTAAAAAATAAACATATATAAAACACCTTACAAATAAAAAAATGGTTTTCCCCTCTCTGTGTGTATGTATGTATATGTACAGAGAACTGTACCAAAGCTGACTGTGTAACAGGAGCAAGGATTTATAATCCCTTTCAGCAGCTCCTAAGAGAGGGAATGGCTCAGTCCCCTCAAAAGCTGGTCCCAGGCCATTCACTCATGCAGTCCAACATTGGGAAGTTGTGTCCCGTGTCTGAAAGGGCAGCGCAGGGTAAACAACAGGGAGCAGCTTAGCTCTGATTAGGAGCTCCCATTAAAACAGGGATGCCAGCTCTGCAGTGACCTAAAGTATCTGGAGTGAGAGCTGCCTACAGACATCACCCAGCAGACTCACTGTGCAGTGCTGGACTCCAGTGGTTGCTCTGAGAGGCTGCAGTGGTGGAAAGAACAGGTCCATGGG